CTCAACTCATATCATTGTGGGAAAATTCTACTACCAGTCCTTAATCACCTTACACGAAATAGGGTGAATAGATCTCATTAACTAATTATGCTAAAATAAGTTAACAGTAGCCTTTCCCCTATTTCGCTTAATGAGATAAGAGGACTTGCACTTGAACTTTCCTGCAACGATACGAGTAGACCTTAAGGTTCTATTGAATTTCACATAGCCTTGACTTCTCAAAAGGTATTCTCATCCAGGGTGGACTGCAGTTCTGTCCTAGCCTAGATCAAATCAGTCCCTCTCAGCGGGGCTCGAACCATGAGAATGAGGCGTATTATCTCGACACTAGCCACTACGCCACAATGCCATTAGCGCCCTTGGGTGAAAGGGCAGATGTGAATTTCAAATAAGGCCAGGGATTTTCCCACCTCCCATTCTGTGGTGGGATTGTGATGAAGCAAAGTTATATTTGCTATAACAATCGATTCCATTACTTATTTTTCGTCTAAAATTACTCATTCACTGATGCCCATAGGTGTGGAGCGGAATAGTAACGTGTCGAAAATAACCGCTGTTCTACTTAGGTTCGGTTCCCATTTTAAATTGCAATCTAGGCAATGTTATTGCTGATTAATCATTACTATCAATCCTTAATCCACCTTATATCATATTCAAGAATAGCTTATAGTTTCAGACGGAATATTACCTTAACTACTGTCTTCACTTTGGTGTGAATAATGGGCACCGATTTCTTATAGTATCTTTAGGAAGATTGAAATGAGGATATATTCTTCAATATGCTTTATGATACAATTACAATACGCGTTATAGCTTGATTCTAATGTAACTTACAAGCAAACATTGCTCTGTTTCATTTTCCTATTCATCTTTTTAGGATAGCTAGTATCATCCAGGAGAGCTGGGACCAGCTGGAAAAAAGTAAGACAGACATGAAGGTAGGCTGGCAGGAGGATGTGGAAGTGCCCAATAACATTAAGGAAGTCGACATTCAGCAATCTCCGCAACAGCAGCGGCAGCAACCCCATCAACAAGTGCAGCAGATTAAAGTTGAAGTCTATGCTGAGGAGATCGAGATGATAAGAGAGATGATTGAAAAGTTTGGTCACCTGCTCTCGATGTTTGAGGCTGATGAGGGTGATCTGGATGGCTATCTAATTTCTGCACTGCTTAGCAGCGGTAAGAGTTTATAACTACAAGCTTTAAAAGAATGTGCTAAGTTTTTACACTTTTCACGGATGTCTGATAATCACCATGTCCCTAAAGGAATTTCTGATATGGATGAACTAGAATGCTGAAATGCTATTTCAATTCACTTAGGTCCGTCTTTCTGACAAAGAAACAGGCTGCTGTCAGTTTGGGTCATGAAGTTTCCAATAAGACCAGTTTAATAAAGTAAGTAAATTGTTTTCTGGACATGGATTGATTTCATCTTCGCGATGTGGTCATGTTCAGTTGCGAACTGTATAGAAGGTGCCTGGTAATGT